TGTCTACGCCACAGTCCCCCAGCTTCCTAATGAGAATGGGGTGAGAGACAGTATCAAAAGCCTTCCTGAAGTCTAGGAAAACTATATCCACTGCCACCCCTGCATCCAATGATTTAGTGACCTGGTCGTAAAAGGCCACCAGGTTGGTCTGACAGGACCTGCCGCCAATGAACCCGTGCTGGTTCATGACCCTCAGCTTCTCTGCTTCCACATCCAGCTCCTCCTCTGGCACTGGAAGGCTCATGCTAGGAACTGAAATTGGGGTGGAGAATGTCACGCTGCTGCTGGTTAGTGATGCAGGCACTGCTACCACCTCCTTGCTCCCACTAGCAGCAGAAGACTCACTGCTGACAGGAAAGAGGGTGCGTCTATGTTTGGGGCAGTGGGAGCTTACAGCTCTCCCTCTTCCCCCTCTCCCTCCCCTGCCAGAAGACCTGACACCTGCCTTTCCAGCATGCTTCATAATGTTTGGTGTGCTACAAAATGTGTAAATACCCAAACTCTTCATTTACTCATGACACTGTTGTTTTAATTGCCTTGTTTGGAGAGAATGCTATGCTGTTACTTTTCTTTTGATCTTGGCTTTAACAACAATTGTTGGACTATTACATCTTCCACTTGAGCTTAGTAAAGTTTTTTCCTCTGTGAGGATAACTGTGGATGCTTGATCCTAAACCTTTTTTTTGTACTCCCAATTCCATATCTCTTAAATAAAACAAGTTAAATTGGCAGGAGACTGAAAATAAAGGGGGAGAAAAAGTCACATAATACAAAAATTAAAGCACAACCTACATTTGGGCAGCCTGTAAACACTATGGTAAGCACACGTAGCTTGGCCAGGACTCTCAGGCCTCAGTACTAACAAGGTGTATTTTTCCTTTGTGGTAGCATACGTGAGCAACAGTGATCAGAAAATACCATGAAGAAAGAACATTACTTCTACCACAAGGTAAAAGAAAGGTGAAGCCTACCCTGTCCTCTGTCTGTCTTAGTTCACCTCACAGTGAAGCTATGGGTGATCTGTGGTGATTCACTGTAAACAAAATGGAGAAGAATCTTCTGAAGATTAATCCCGGATGCCCTGTCCCAGGCTTGCATACCTTGTGAGGCCAAACAGCTTATCAGAAGGAAGGAGCATTTAGCCCTGCCTGGGGCTGGAGTGGATTTTGAGCACCAGAAGTGAGAAGGGTGGAAGAGCAGGAACCCAACTCCGAGGTCTCTGAAAGGGCCTCAGATGCTATCAGCAAAATGAAATGTTTAGGGTGATGATTCTCACCTTTTTTTAGGTTTAAGGCACCCCTGGATGGACTCATGGCACCCCAATGACCCTCTCCCTGAGATCTCTTCAGCCTATATTGACATTTCACAGAAGCTGGATGTTCTCCTGCTTTACCAGTGGCAGGTTAGGTATTTGTATGATGATTTGTATGATTTGCTAGGTCTATGCTGTGTCAGTTAATGGTATTGTTTAGATGATGGTTTGGATAGGGACGATCCTGCGTCAGGCAGAGGTTGGACTAGATGACTTGCAACACACCTCAGAAAATGCTAGCTCTTAGTGTTTGCTCTGGTTTTTGACTGCAAAAAAATGCCAGAGCAGGTTTTGTGTTGCAAAGAGCTCCTAAAAAACTAAAACCACGGTTTGGAACCTCTGGGTTTATCTCGTGAATCAGGCTGGCACGTCTCATGCTGTGGACATTGAGCATCACCCTGCAAAGGATCTTCAAGGTCCCCCAGGCTGACAGGGTGCCTAGGCTGAGATTTGCTGCCTCAGAGGCGCATTTCACTGTCCTCAAAGGCAGGCACTTGGCAGTAGCGGGATGAGGCTGCAGTTGGTTCCTTATTCCCAGTCACTTTATCAAAGCTAATCTTTACACACTTAAAGGTTGTTAGTAATGAATTAGACATGTTAAAGTGTTAGAATTTCATCCAAAATGTGTATTTACTAATAAAAAATGCAAAATAATAACATGTATCAAGTATAGAGCCCTGAATAAAGAGCTGAGATTAGACTGGGAAAATACTTTTCAGGTCACCCCAAACCACATGTCTCCACCACTTCTTTGGAGAATTCTGGGCAGGGCAGGGCAGTGCCTGACCTGGAGCTCAGTTTTCATGCACCAGCCTGGCTCTACTCATCGCCACTGCCCCCAATCGGCCCTTCTCTGCCCCCGGGGGCGCTCTCCCAAAGAATCCTGAACTGGGTAAAGATTAGCTTTGAAAAAGAAACTGGGGACCAGGAATAATAGGGCAAGGGACCAACTTCTGCCCCTTGCGGGGGGTGGGGAGTGAGCAGCCCTGTGAAGAGGGCTTGGCGGGAAAGCCCCCGTTGAGGCCACCCGGTCTCGGCCAAGGCCGGGCGAGGAGCGGGAGCCTGGAGCTGGGTCTGCGCTGAGGGGAGCGGCTCGGCTCGGCCCGGACGCTCCGCTCCGCTTCGCCGGGAGCCTCCCGCTCCTGGTGCCGCCCTGCGCCGGGCTCCTCCTCCTGTCCCGGGAGGCCCGGCCCCGCGCGCTGACGTGCGCTGACTCGCCGGAGCCCGGCCCGGC